CAGAAAATACCACGAGGCATCCAGCAATTCACCTTCCCTACGAGTCCAGGTTGCGTAGAGAAGGGTGATTTCTATCATTTTAAGCCCTTTTTGGAACTGTAAACAAAGAAGCTGTGTTTACCTCGAGGGCTTGGGAGAAAGCCGTGATGGTAGGTGAACCAGCGATTCAAAATACAAAGATTGGCAAGGGGGGGTTTCAATACACACGCCGCTCTTGTAGCCCAAACATGTAGTAGTTTCTTGGATTTGTTTTCTAGTATCAGTTTATCTTTGCATCATTCTCGAGCCCCAAGCAGTGCTTCTTGTCTTTGCCCTGTCATGAATTATATCTTCTTTTCTTTCTCATAGGTGGTCCGATGGAATGCATGCACAGAATAAAACCCTGGGGTCCAAAGCTGTCCATATAAATGTTTGTTAAGGCCTGACCCAGCGGAGGTAACAGTAGAAAAGTGCAGGGACTTACAGAGGACAGCAGCACTCACACATGTTGGGCTATTGGAGTAAATCACAGCCTTTGCAAAGGGAAACTACAGTGATTGACAGGTGGGTGCCTAAAGGGCAATTGGTTGGTTGCCAGGGGGGGGGATTTGGTCTGCCCTCCTGACACATTCTCTCCCATGGGTAACCTAAATGAAAACACACTTCCTGTTTCACTGGGCACTGAAGTGTTGTTAATCTTGACATTCCTGGCCCCCCTCATACACTACACTATACAGCATTTTGACTGGGATGAAGCACTCAGACATTTTTTTGACAAGGTGACCCGATGAGCGGCAGTCTGCGCTACGCCCATTAAGTGGAACTGGACCTAACATCAACAGTAATCACTGCCATTTACATGGTCTGATGTGTGGAAAAGGTGAACGCTGGATCTCCATAAAGAGCAACAGTCAAGTTTTTCGAACCAGATTAGATTTAATAACGTAACAGTCAATGCTGTGATTCATTACAGGCACATTTAGTGAATAAGAAAAAGGTAAGAAAACATCATTTGAGCTAAATAACAAAATCTACTGTCTCTATGGATTCACATAATACATGTGAAACCCTTGAATTTGGCTCTGGCTGCTGTCCCAGCTGTCTAAATTCATCAGACTTCTCTGGATGAGGGAGTATGAAGTAAAGATCTTTACGTTTCCTAGCTTTCTTCTCAGTAAAGCCAGTGGACTTAATCATGGCAGCAGGGCCTCTTCCCTGCAGAGCATCAATGACTCGTTACCCATGATAACACGGCAGGACCCCGGCTGACTGAGGAGATGCCTGAATTAAAAAGCCGCTTCCATGGAAACAGGCTCAGCAGCTCACAGTGCTGCATCACCTCTGAACTCTTGTCTTTCTCTCGAGGCTGTGACAAGTGCTCTGAAGTGGAGATGGAGATGGAGGGCATGGGAGAAGAAAAGAGAAAGGAACAATAACGCTGCATTCTTTCACAAGGAGATTTAAGTCAATTTTATGAGCCTGCCACATGTTCTCGAGTATGAAAAGAGGCTATTGTTACTTCTGTAGAGGCCCTTAAGATGTCGAAGAAAGAGCTTCATGGAGGTATTAAAAGAGAATGATCAGTGTTAAGCTGAGGGAAAGTTTTCCATCCCCATCTTTACCTTTACTCTATCTATGGCCAGCGCTCAGCGTGTGAGCGCACGTAATACAGAAACCAAGCCTTTCCTGCCAAATCACTCCCTCTCCCTTCCGTCCAATAATAGTCTCGACAGTTACATTTTCCTTCTGCTTTTGATTAAGTATATATCAAATATTCATGGCAATGGAAATGTGTAACAATGACTTTTAGGGGGCCTGGTGAGTGTCTAATATATTCAGACTATACAAGACGTTCAGATGACTGGATCCTTGTGCTATTTCAGAAACCTCACTCGCAGTATTTCAGTCTTTTGAGGCCAAAGCTCCATTGGTAATGGTCGCAAGGAGAGCCAAAATAAATGTCGGCTGCTTGTTTTCTTTGTGTGTGTGTGTGTGTGTGTGTGTGTATTCCACAACTCCGGGACTATCTGTACACCAGAAAATTGATGTATGAAGTTTGAATAACCTGTCAAAACAAAAGGGCCAGGATGCCTCAAACTCAACTCCGAATATGAAAAAACCTCTGAGATGTCAGATGGGAACTGTTTCATATCTTCTTTTTACGAAAAGTTGCTGCACCATCACAGGAGCAAAGCTGATTATTCAGCATAATGTTTAATTTTCGGGGCAACAGCCGCTGCAGGAAGCCAACAAAGACTCAAAACCACTTAAATAGAATAACAGAACGTCATTACTGTGGTAAACCGTCGTGAAAACCTATAATGTAAATCATCTGTAAAGTGGGAAGTCGAAGAGGGAACACAAGACCGATGCTGGATAACATCAAATAGCTCAGTTCCACTTTGTAATCTGAGATCAAAACTAATTGTGAACGACTTACTTTGATTTTTGAGAATGTGGGCTTTGTAGCTCTGAGGATGTTTCTGTGTGTGGGGGGTGAGTTACTTTGCTAACTCTTCGTCTAAAACAGCTGCAACAATGTGGCATTATAGCTGATCTCAACAAAATATCTTCATTAAAACTGAAGTAAAAGTGTCAGTGCTCGGAACTATTATAATGTTAGTTGTGTGTTTGAACCTAAAATCCTTATAAAGCTCTTTTATTCTAGTTTGAAAAGGGGAAGCAGTACATTAGCAGTGAATCTTTTTTTCTGCCAGCAGGTCAGCCACAATCACACTGTTCACTCCAGAGAGTAGACGTTCAGTGCTCAGCTGAGTTGTTGGCAGCATGGCATCATGTGTGCCTGGGCACACAGTCGTGTTAATGTCCTTGCTGGTGCCCCGACATGTGGAAAAGCGGGGATGTGATAGTTCATGTGCGGTCAGCACAGTGTGTGTGTGTGTGTGTGTGTGTGTGTGTGTGTGTGTGTGTGTGTGCCACACAGCACAATGTCCATCACATACATTCCACATGATTTAACAAAAGTGCTCTAAGAGTATGGGTTTGTGGCTCAGTCAAAGCCTGCCATTCCGCTAGCTTCTCCCTCGCAAGGCAAAGCCCTGGAAAGGAAGCCCAGAGTGAACTGACAGCCCACTGGAGGCCTGACAACAACCCACCGGATCCAACCCAGACAAACCTCAACAGCTCCTCTCCCTCAGCGTCTCTCATCCCCTCGATATTATTTTTTTTGTCTTAGAGTGGGTGAAATGTGACATATCCCTCCTTCACAACGGCTGCTACACATTTCTGTAGATTCATATGTAACTACAGACTTAGCCCATCTGCTTTTTTTTCCGAGGCTTTTTCTCCAGCGGGCTTGTGTGAGAAAAGCCCTGAAAAACACAGATGAAAAAGCAGCATTCGGTTTTGTCCTTTTTCCCAGTGAGGCAGCTGTGTTTGAGTTCGGAAAAACAACTTGTGGAACGGAACTGTTGTCTTTCTTTTGTACCCCTGAGGTAAGTGTGAGTAATTAAAGAAGCTAAAAAAGGGCCTCTGTACACACACACAAAATCCAACTTGATCATAGAAGTAAAAGTAAACCGTAAACAATCACTGCTCTTCGTCAGGATACAGAAAATGATGCATGCTGGGAGAATTTTAAACAATCTGTTCTTTCTTCTTTATTTTTATTTTTTTAAAGACGTGAACTGCCTGCTACAAATGCTGAACATCATATCCTAAATGTTGACCTCATAATATAAAAAGTTTAAATAAAATGTTCCTAGTAGAATTTTACTTTTCCTCTCGTTTGTTGAATAGATGGCTAGTTTGGTGATGGGCAACTATATTAAAACAACACTGATTCTACTTGATCACACACACTTTTACCCAGACTGAACACACAGTAAATGTTGGCAAGCCTCTTATTTACCCTTCATTGAAAATCTATGTTGCCACAGCATAGATATCTCAGAAAGCATAGATGTGTCATGATTGGACCCCAGCTGAGTCTTTAATAGCTGCACAGAGCCAATCCAGGATTGACAGAGAGACCTCAGACAGGCAGCAAAAATCACCAGTGCTATATGGCTGTTACAGCAACACTATCAGACTGAAGCCTGGATTGTATAAGAAGAGTCTGCGGAGTGGCAGTCCCAAACTTTCGTCCATTTAGCCTGTCAGCACTTTCAGCGGGGATAAATGCTGTGCAGTTCCACTCACTTAACTCGGCTTTTCCTGGTCAATCATAAGCCTTTACAGAGTTCAGGCCCAACACCCCCAACTCAAAAAAAAAAAATCAAACCACTCTTTCATCCTCTATTTATGTTCCTGCAATCACAACTGAGCCTTTTCAAATGCAGCGGTAACAGTGCTCTACTGTAGGGTAGGGAGGAAGCAGAGCAGGGAGGTGATATTGGCTGAGCTAAGGTAACACGGGGACACAACTGGTTTTATTCTTTTTTCCCCGCTGCAGATAATTAGAATTTCTTTTCTCCTCTGACCAATTTGCAGGGACTGGCTGATGTTCAGGAAATACCCAAACAGTCTAAATAGCTCAGGCAGTGTGGAAAAATGTCCTTATCTGAGCGCTGGACCGTGTCGCATTTATCCAGTGTTATATTATTACAACTTCTGAAATGAGCAGAGTTCAAAACTAAGGAAAATTCTGCTATCAACACAGTTTCTATGTGTCATGAAATAACAGAACCATTGACTGGTATTATGAAAACGTAGAATACATCTTAATAAATACATATGCTAAATATACAATGATGGACATTTTAGCTCCCCATTATATACAACAAAAACAACATAATCACACCAGAAACGATGCCCACATTTCAGCTGAAACGAAAAACTGTCAGTGAAGCGCTTCACATAAACCTCTTTGCAGAGCAGCCAGTTTATTGGATTTGAGATGAGAACTTTTGGCTGGGCTTAGTCTGGATAATCACAACTGCCTGCATTTCTATGGCGAACATGTAGAAGTGCATATTAGAACCTATCTTTTCAAACTACAAAATATAACGATCCTAACAACTACAATTCAGTGGCCCAATGAAATGTATTTTGAACCTTACCTCAGCAGCTGGGATGCCTTCAGGTGGGCGACATTGGAGCAACACTTCCTGTTCGAGGGACACTTCCTTCCCAAGAGGTTCCTGGTCAAATGTCTTCCTCAGGTCTACAATGGACAGAAGCACATTGTGTATCAATATGTACTTATATCTCATTGACAGGTAAATGTAAGGGCTATTTAAAAGATATGTTAAATATTAAATACTGATTAAATCAATAATATAGTATTGGTATACTAGCAATAAATGTGTGTTTTGTTGTGGCAAAATGACGAGAAGAGACGACGAACTGAAGTTTGCAACCAGCGGGAAATGTTTTAATAAGCACACGCCCAACATACAACGAGTTCAGCAAAGCCTACAAATCCGATGTGTTACTTTTCACAGATTACTTTTATAGTCATACTTTACCCCCCTTACGTCACTTTCCACCAATCAAACAAGTGGGTTGAACCACAAACAGAGCACATCTGATTTCTTCACTATGTCATGCTCTCCTGACTTCGTTTGAGTCAAGATAACCTTTTGGCAGAACACACGATTCGTTTACGGGAAATGTTTGGATACAAATAGGGGTGATCGACTACAATTTGTCTGGTCTCTTCCTAAGACTGTTTTTATGAAACCCAGTGTGTTCAACATAACAGTTATATAAACTGTTTACTTGTGAATCCAAATGTGTTCAGTTCAATCCTAAGTTATATGATGATTTTCTTCAACAGTTTGAATGTTAGAAACATTAACTGCTTCATTTCTATCGCCCTCTCTCCTTCAGCTAACAGACAAACCTCCCTGAAGTAAGATGTAGAGAAGATAGATAGAAGGGGATCTCTCACCCTCCAGTGAAAAACTAATATTTTTGCGGCGTGAGAGCCCTGACGGAGTAGTGCAGGGCAGGGATAGTGGAGCTGACAGGGCAGGATTACTGAAGGTGTCATGCTACACTGGAACCCAAAGCCCATTAGACATATATCATAACCTGCTGCACAGACTGAGACAGGCGCAGTGGGCATCGTACACAACAACAGAGGGGATGGGAGAGAGGGGAGCGAGAAGAGGACTTAATGGAAGACTTACAGCACCATTTGGGAACTTTGGAGTTACTGAAGCATCAAATCTACAATCAAACCTCCAAACTCCACTGATAACATTTCCACAGCCTTTCCAATAGTCTTGGCAGAAACAGTTTTAAAAGCCTTTTTACGGACACATTTAATCAAAAGCAGTAATGACATCCAATACAGCATGCTCTAACATGTTTTTCCTATACATCAATTATACATACAGAAGCAGGCATGAGCTGAATTCTGCAACTATGCCAACCTTAAACCGAGGCCAGTCCCGCTAAGAAAGGCAAGCATGACGGAAGAGTGAGATAAACCAAGTTGGAAATGATATCTGTGCAAAGACTACAAGCTGAGAGGTTATAGTGAAGCATTAAATCAAGCTCAGACCTTGAAGGGTTGAACTAAGCAGGAAACATACATGTTAAAAGACTGAGATGCAGCTCTAATAATACTGCAAAAAGCCTGCAACAGTAAGATGCGTGTTGGGGGTCTGTGTTTAATTCACTTTTAATATCCAGGTTTCTGATACCGACACATTTCTTCAGTTCCTCCTCTACTGACACCCAACTGTGTCCAAACCCAGAAATAACCCCGGTAAAGCAATTCAGCAAACGATATGGCAGATCTTATACACAGAACACTATTATTACAGTAATGGACTGCTACTGACAGTGTGTGTTAGGATAAAAAAAAAAAAAAGTATTTTACAATAGAGAACTGTACAATAGCACATTGGTTGGGAATTCAAGGTTTAGATGCGAGTTGAGTGTAGATTAAAAGCACCTTCAGATGTGCAGTGGCACATGGCAGAATTTGTACTTCAGAAGTTGAAGCAGACTGCACATAATAAGTACAATGTAATAGGCTACAGTACCCACGTCTATAAACGTAAATAACTGTTCCTCAATGTGTGGGGAGATTGCGGTACGTGTGTGAATGGATATAGTAAGGATAGATGTTACGTATTCATCACTACTATAGAATATAAAGAAGACAGTCCTAAAACATGATCAAAACAGAGGTTCAATTTACTGATTTCATCACTTTGTTCAATAGCTATTACATGAGCACACATTATACTTAAATAGAGACATTTCACTGTTCAGCTAACGGTTCCACTTTCCCTGCAGGAGAAACTAGATCATGTTCTTATTACAGACTACATGATCAGGCTACACCTGGAGGCCCCAAAGAATACATATAGTCATTTTAAGGTTCATTTTTTTTATTTGGAAAAATGAACCTTAAAAAATAACAAATTCAACCCATGTCCCAATTCCACCTGTGAGTATGCATGTCTTCAGGGGAATAATAACCCTAACTCCACAATTTCAATGTATTATAAAAGCCAAAAAAGTGTGAGTGTTGAATTGAAAGCAATTTCTGTAAAAGTCTGGTATGAAATTAAAAGAAGGAATGACTGGAGGGGCATATTGTGTGACGTATAAAGCTTTATGGAATTTGATCCGAGGACCAACAGTTTGTTTTTATTAAGATGGAAAGGTAAGGAAAGGAAAAGAGGCAGCAAAACTATGTCTCAAAGGGGCACTGCTGTTTGAAGTTGTAAGAGTCATTCTACTGCTGCTCTGATGTCAGAACGACAATGTGGAGATGAACGCGAGTTCAAACTGCCTCCACAAGATAAAAGAAGATGTAGTCACAATATGACAGGTGAGGAGAAGAAGCAGGCACACTGTCATCCTACACAGGAACACACTTCATGCTACACAGTATATGCACTGCAGACAAATCCAATAAATAAAATATGAATTCTCCATAAACCTATGAAGAGTCAATCAGTCTTCCCTGGCTGCTCAGTGTGTCGTATTGTAGCAGAATGGACCATGATGCCTAGCAGCCATACTGGAGGTGGCATAGCAGGTTTTGGTTTGGTTTGGTGTGTTGATCATGAGAAGGAGTAAATACTTAATAACCTCCTTAAACCCAAGCAATCGAAACAAAAATGTGTTGTTGCCACATAATAAGCTTGTTTTGGATATTTCTGTTTTTGTTTCCAGAAAACCCACCTCGTCTGTATTTTATTCTTTCAGTGTCTGTTACTCCCACAACTACCTCCAATTATTGTACAAAACATAAACACCACAGAATAGCCTGAATTAAATGATAAGAATTAATTGCATTGGCCAGTGTTTGTGAGTATATGTAAAATATTCATGCTTTTTATTTTGTTTTATTCGCTTGTTGTAGCAGATCAACTACAGCTTGTTCAACCAGAATTAAACACCCAGTGCTTGTTTTGTTAATTCCATCATCCTTTGCAAACCTTTGACATTCCCCTTGATGAAACACAGTAAGTAGCATGTAAGTGATTATTTTTGCTCTGCATATTTTATTGGTTGTGGGTTTAAATTATGCTCCCCCTCTAGAGTCTCTCTTCTCCTCACTCCTCGTAACCCTGAACAGTACTGTGGGACACTGAAGGGTGTGGGGGCCAGCTGAGTCGACATTCCTGTGGGAGTCGCACTATTCCCTCCTCAGCAGATAAACACTTCCAGCCTCGCTCGCCCTCAGAAGGATTCACATATGACAACATTGCCTTAAGAGGGTACAGTAAGTTTGGCTGCTTTTCATGCTAAATTACACCAGCCTTACACTTCAGAGGCTTCCTCGCTGAGTGAATCATAAGGTACTGATGCGGACCTAGATTAGGAATGACCATGGAGACTCGACTTGTACTCGTAAAATTATAATGCTACAAACAAACAAACAAGAAAATCAATTTCCACCTTTCTCAGTAAACTTCACCCTTCGACAATCTTTTGAAAGGCATTTCAGTTGATTTGATTCATTTATTTAATTTGGTTGTATGCACATGCTTTTATTGCCTCTCTTTTTGGCAAGCAATCACTGCTCCCCAACTATGGAGGCCAATCAAAACGGTTTTGTGGAGGTCACAAGAAGAAAAGGCAATCATGGGGAATTTACACATTCATCCTCCGGCAGGCACACAGAATCTCTCTGACAATACTTTTAGCCAGACCAGCCTTTTTTTTAAGGTCTGAAAAGCCAGCTCTTCAACACAACAACCCCTTAACTTGCCAGCGCTGGCGCTGACTCACCGTCTGATTAAACTGTATATGTTTAGATGATGGGAGAGGAAAGGAAAACAAGCCCAGTTTCCATTAGCCTAACAGGATCGAGCCCGGCTCTGAAGAAGCCTGCCTGAAGAGAGAGCACAGCAGAGGAGCTAATCCATTCAGCAGAAGCTAATGGGAGGGGAAGAGGGGTCCATTGTGATTTGAGGGATAGGTTAGTGCTGGAAGGCTGCTCATCATGGGTGATTATAGGAGGTGGAGCAGCGGGAGTGGGCTCGGCGGGGGAGACTGAGAGGCATGATTCTGATTCACCGGGCTAGTATAACAGCAGCAAGTGGTAATGAGACGAGCTGCTGGTGTTTGAAAAAGAGGGATTACACTGAATTCAAAGAGCAACTGTACAGAAAACAGGGGGAAACCATTAGAGCGAGAGAGTGAGAGACACAGCAATATGTAGATGCAGGGAAAGAAAATGAGAATTAGGTGGGATCAAAATCGAGAGGGACAGATACTGTATATGACGTTACCAAGTGAAAACCATGGATATTGACTCCGTACTGTGCTACTCTGCAGAACTGTATAGTGAAAATGAAATCATTCTGACAGTGGCACAGAGTTGCCGGCCAAACAGCGATATCCCCATCACGCCCTCTCCAGCAGTGATAACAATACATTTGATGCAGACTACAATACACGCTGCAAGTGTGTGTTGCATTCTGTCTGGTTGCCACATGTCAGTCACAATGAAGTGACAATTGAAATGACTTAGTCAGGAGTTGAAAGTGTGCAGCGTGATCTAGCTTGATACTACAAAAGAAGTCCGTCCGGGGGGAATTTTGACAACACATGTGGAAGCGGTTGTGTTATGTAATATGTGTGTTGTGTTGCAGAAGCAATGCCTTCATGTCACAACTCGAACTACTCTTACATCTCTGCTTTCCTCACCATGCCCTCTGGGGTTTCATTACTTTTCAGATTTTGATTGGCACATCCTTTGGGAAACAGTTGTGAAAAAATTAGCCCAAACTTTAGAGGCAACAGAATGTTTCTCTTTACTTGGAAAGGACTTGTGTTATGCATCTCAGTAGGAGGACAAACACAAAGCCAGTGAACAAATGAGGACCACCTACAGAAAAAAAGAGGTAAAACTGGCATAAACATGTGCCGTAGCCTCTCTAATGTGTATACACTGCTGAGGCTCTCCCCATCCTCTGCACTGGTTTATACTGTACACAAGGAGAGGGATTCAGATCCTGTCGGCTTTTTACCAACTCAAGTTCAAAGGGACACTTGAGTCCCTTTTTTCACTGCTTCTATCTCCAGAATCTGTAAATCCGTCCTGATACACAAGTCAGTCTTTGAGATGCATTTCCTTGGCAGCCAAGACATTTTGTTTGGAGAGGAATACAAAGATTAGAGAGAAGATAAAGACTGAATAATGGGATGAAGAGCAGGATGAAGGGAGGGGAGAATACTCACAGGCGATGCGGACGTGGGCTTTGCGGCTCTTGGTGGTCCCCGCAGAGCTCCAGGCAACACACTGACACCAGAAGTCCTCCGGCCCAAACAACTCCTCCACCTGCTGCCGAGTGATCTCTATGCTGGCCTCTCTCACTACCAGTCCTGGGAGGAAAGACAGACAGGAGTGAAAGGCAGTATTAGCACATATCGACAGGGAACAAGCGCTCCAATGAACTGAAACAGACCAAAATTAATTAGTTTATACACATACAATATACACTACCTTGTAATCACAAATCAGTACAATTTAAAATCAGTCGCATCACATGCTTTGACACTGGGTATTTGTGTCAGTCTGGCCCCGATTCCAGAGCCAGAGAGCTGAGCTGTTTGGGTCCGGGCCCTGTGGGGGAGGATTCTCGGCGTCATGGCTACCACAATCCTGTTTGCTAACTCCTCTGATTACTGCTCATCTGGGTGCCAGGACCCAAACAAACAAATCATCCTCAAAACAAATGCCTCTACCCACAGCTGCCCCTCTCAAGCAGATTACGCTGCCACTACAGTGTGTGTATGTCGAGCATGCATAGGAATTGTGTGTGTATATAAATGAATGGGTTATGTGGTGCACGAGCATTCACTGAAGCTACGGATACTTCACATGCAATATCGTGCCTTATTGCAGCTCAATCCATCATCCCGTTTTGATTGAATGAGATATCTGTGAGGACAATGGTGGTCTCATGAGGTCCTTGTAAAAATGAGAAATGTGCTATAGCAACTCACTGTACTGTATTTAAAACATTAGGAGACAATTAACACTTTGATTTATAGTATCTGAACCCATAATGAGCAGGACTGACACAAAAAAAGGACAATTATTCTGTGTGTTGATACCTGTCATGTGATCAGGGGACATGAATGACTGCGACAGCACTGTGGATTTTTCACAAGAACATGCTGAGACCACGCTGTGAATAGCCAATGCCACCTCATCATCAAAGTGCTGCTCCGTTAGGTATAAATGTGGGGGGGTGTTCAGCCCACTGGAAAAAAAGTTAAGTTGATGTCATTTTCCCGGAACTGTCATGCTCAAGTACCTGGTCAGCAATAATGTGAAAATGGACTGTGGCATTCAAATTATGGCCTGTTGAACGGCCTTTTGTGTGCCCTGGAAACATTCTCTCCAGCATTACCACCAGGATGGATGCATCTATACAATTTATTTTTTTTTGTCCACCATGAATCAGATCGTGTCATCGGCATTACAAACCACTACCCCGGCAGCTTTCTTTCCCCCGACTCTTTAGTTACTCTGTTTTAGAGATGATTATGGTCTGTAGCTGTGTCTTATTGTTAGCTGACATTACGACAGAAACTGAGTCTTCTGTTGCAGTTGTAGAACAACCAATAAGGAGATTGATGAGTTCTGCACGCTGTTCTTGTACTGAGCACTTATGTGGTTACCGGTAGTCATTTAGTCGTTGTATGGTATTGACCATGTATTGACATTTCTTACTACAAAGCTGCTACTGTCTGGAAGCTTTGAGTCAGTGTCTCCAGACTCATAACCATGACCAATCTGTTTACATGAACAGGGGTGTGTACATCGTATTCTTGTAACAGATATTGTACTTTTGCACATTTTAATGGCTTACGTTAATTTAAAAAAACAAAAAACATTTATATAGTTTTCTCAAACATCCCCTACTGTCTGTCCTTTGTGCACACCGTTGCCTGCTAATTCAAAAACAATGGGGAGGCTGATGTCTCTCGAGGAGACACAAATTAAAAGGGCTGCACAGAGTGCAAACAGGGGGCAGTTGCAGAATTAATGATGCGGCCTTGTTGTAACAACGCTAGCTAAGTACTTAACTGGAGCTTGTCCAAACAAAGGTGTTGTGTTTTAGTTAGTGAGGTAACTTAAACTAGTATTGGGTGTTAATAGTTAGCCAGCCAACAGTTCGACTTCCCTTTATTTAAGCTTAGTATCTCCTTATTCCTTCGTTGTTAGATCTAATGAGCCAACATGTTGTCAAGGTTGGTAGGTTAAATATTATAATAACATTACTCATGCATGAGAAACGTCCCGCTGTTGATAGCAGACGCGATCTGTCAGATGTTACGTTAAGGTACTGAACTGGATTAGGCTGATAACTTTAAAGTAACTTTAAAGGCTGTGTGCTAAACTAAGCTACTAGAGCTGGAGCACGTTGTTTTTTGCAGTGACAGCAGTTAATAAAATAAATTACGCCTGGTTTAACTTAATTAAACGTGTGTTTTTAACACTGATTAAATAACTTCTGTAATTGCCTCATTGCTAACAAATTAAAACTATTGCTCCTACTGTATATTTAATAAGTTACCATTCACGTTATGTGTCTGTGTGTTTTTTTTTACTGAGCTTACCCAAGAGATGCCGTGACATCATTGTCATGCGCTGCCTTGTGTCACAAATCAGTGACTCATCGTGTCCCAATGTTCATTCAATCAGTAACCCAATCTTTGCCTTAAATCTAATTCATTATATTGTGATTCACTAGTCTTCCTGCTGAACTAGACATAAAATGGACCTTTTTGTGACACACTGTGAACCTTTGCCAGTAATCTAAAATTGAAAATTGAGTGTGAAAGCTCACTCATAATGCAATAGATTTATCAAGACAAATCTTATTATCAAATCTGTTATTATAATCTGTGGGCAATTTTGACCTTTTACATTGATTGTTTGATTTGGAAAAGTGACAACCGTTGTGTTCCTTTAATTTCCCAAACATTGCTTTCAGTTTATTGTGCCAGTAAAAAGGCATACAAATGTTCATAACTGCTGTTGTAGATATCGCTACAATGGAATGGAAATACTTTAAAGCAAAGTATTTCCACATGAGACCGACGGTATCTTAGCAGTCGATATATTTGTCTCAGTCTTTTTATGCATATATAAGCCCACCTGTATTCTCCTCTTCTGGATGATCACAATTTGTACAAAGGTTCAGGATCTGTTTTACAGTTCGACTAGGTTTACACAGTATGTGCCTGAATTTCTGGTTGAATGAAAAATGAAAAGGGACCGGGTGGTTGAACAAATTAACATGCCATTTTACTTCAGGTTCAGAGCATTCACACAGCCTCCTTGTTCTGGCACACACACCAGGCAGAGTGACATCCCACACACCAGCTAAGCGCTCATGTAAAATTTACACAGTGTGCCGACAGGCAGGAGAACAGCCGCGTCTGTTGTGTGCACATTCGCTGCTGCATGTATGTGTCCACATGCACGTGTGAGTCTAAGGGCGCGTGTGTCTGTGGTTGTCTGTACTGGATGCCAATGTGTCTGAGAGGATGTGGATTGTTAGTTTGAGAATTTCAAGGATGGATGTGATGGATGTTAGAACATCACAGAGTAGTAGAGGTAAAATCAATAGTGGAAACAATAAGAAGATTCTCCAAGGGTGTAAAGCATGCGCCAGAATCAGTTAATTCTTTTCCATCTGTGTTCCAGACTGTTTCTGAAGAAGGTTCTATATAGCGGGGAAATATCCGTCTGATGTTAGAATAAACCCTCTGCACCGTAAGATAGCCTCAAGTGACGGTGATGACCAGCTATAAGTCTACTTTAAGAGTAATTCATGACTTCATTCAAGCAGGATTAAACTCTTCCTGACGTGTTGCACTTGAAACACATCAGAAGGATCACTCTAGCGATGAGCAGGGCTCTGATCGGCCTGCTGACCTCATCCAGTGACTTCATTTGTTTGCTCATCTAGCAGCTCTCAGTACACTGTATAACATTACAATGATAACAACAAAACACACACAGACACAGACTCAATTTGCAATCGAGAGGGGCAAGCGAGCATGGTCCATGTCAGGACCAGTGTTGAGGGGCTACTTCACACATGTCAATGTGGCCATTAGCAGTAGAAATGATTCTACAACAGGTCCCATTAATAGGCTGAAGTAGGGTGCCTCATTGGAGATGATTTATTATTAATGTGGTCATTAAAATGAGCTAGTCTAGCTCCTTAGTGTTAGCACTGGCTAACATTATTGATCAGACCAGTCAGGCAGAAAAGGAGGCATTGGTCATTGAAGGAGCACTGAAGGAGGAGGAAGGGGGTAAGTGCTCTGACTATCCGCCCAGATGAAGAGTACTCGTTTGATCTCCTGACTCGTATCTCAGAGAGTGTGACAAGGTGTCTCCAGTGTATATTACAGTACTGTAGCTGTGCCTACTTATAATTAATTTGCTGCTCATTCACTCATATCAATTCTCCTTTTGCTGACAACGGACTCTAACATGCCCTCACCACTGGGAGGTAAATGCATTGGTGTTCAGGTGACAGGAGGGTGAGTATCTGAAGCTAAATCATCACTGTGGGGAAGGCCAATTGTAAAAAATTGCCATCACACTTTGTTCCTTCTGAGCCCCTTTTTTTACTCTTGCCTCACATTTTGTACATGTGACCTAAATCTATGGTTTCTTTTCATGTGCATCCTCATTATTTCACACAAAACTGGTCTCAGTTCAAATCAGATTGGTTCATGGTCATATGTTCACAAAAATACAACTTGCCATCCATACTGCTCCCTAGCTGAACGTTTTTTGCCGGTGGTTTTCCCTTAAGAGCTTGTGTGTCACGTGCGCTACATGTGTGTCACATCCATTGGATTAAAAAGCATTTAGCCAGGAAATAGACCTGCGTGAGGTCTCTTGAAAAGTCGCAGTGGAGAACTGGAGGTAAATTGTGTCATGCTGTGGAGAACATTGTGCAGGGAAATGCTACCAGCGAATCAAGCCCCCTATTGCTGATTACATTGCAACTACTGATGCCACACAAATTGTGTCTCTTGTTCCTGTGTAGCACCTTGTTGTCATAGGAGTGTGAACATCTGGATGAAGATGCAATTGATGCAGCCTGTAGCTTAAGTCTCTTGCACTCTCTTAATCTCATTATCTCTCTTTTCGTCTAAGTTCTTTCTAACATGAAAGTGAGACATAAAGACAGGACGAGAGAGAGACATAAACACGGGGGTGTGGGGAGAGAGGAGGGTAAAGAGGGAGAGGTCCAATTTCTTCAGGCTAAACTATCAGTGGTATTGACCAGGCTGGCCAGTTTCTATCGGTGCTCCTTTTCTGTCAATCTGGGGAAATCAGAGAGCAATGGAGTGGGTTGAGAGAGGCTACAAACATCCATTGGGCTCTTGTGGTGTTGTGTGTGTGTGTGTGTGGGGTGCAAGGGCATAAATGAATGAATATCTGTGCAGTAAATAGCCTGTGGATATGGTTGTGTAGAGTGGGTGCGTGTGTTGTGTGTGGGTTGTTTTCCATGTTGATGCTTTTAGCACAAACCCTTCTGACACAAAGGCTAAGAGCCACTGATACCTTCACCCTGTTCTTTGTTATAATCATAACCATGAAACACATCCTCAGATCTGTATATTCTTACAAAAGTACACCAGGTCAAAATGAAAGGATTTCAGGTAGCGACTGAGGTTGTTTTTACAATACTCATTTTATATTTGTTCGGGCTACAACACTCCTCTGTATCTGTGTGTCTGCTTTTATAGTTTGCAACAGCTTGCAACAATGCTGTGTGTTTCATATAGTTCAGTAAAACAGCACTTGATTGTTGTATTTTTACAAAATACCCTAAAAACAAAACGCTTGCCGATCCTTGAAGTGTATGTAAGTGTGTGCTTACGTGCCTAAACATTCAAATTTAAGTGAAGGAGCAGCTGTCAGTGTGTCTGAGCATACAGACGTGTGTGTGTATGTGTGTGTGTGTGTGGCAAAACACTGGGATGAAAAGGGTAAATGCGATGTGATTGTTACCTGTGGGCGACAGAAAGAACTCAATTTCCAATACAGCAGCTGAATGCAGCCAATCAGTGCTGAACTTGTTGTGTGTAATGGCTCTGGTGCCGTTGGAGGCTGAATTCAGCTAAAAAAAACACAACAACCCTGCTGGAGCTTCACCACACCGTTACCTCCTCTGGATGCGTACAAACATGTACATAGACACACAGCTACACGCCCAAAAGACACACACACTCCACAAGTTGTGGTGCTTGTCAAGCCTTTTCTACAGATAAGGTGATGCACTCATTGATCATTGATTTAGATGTGCACTTAAATGCGCGTGTAGCTGATCTGTTTCACTGACCAGAGTTTTCGTCAACCCGCTCCTCCACAGTGTGCTCCTTCTGGTGAACCCACTCGCTGTTGCACTTGAAGTAGATCTGGGTGGCGGGCGTGGCCTTGCAGTACAGGTTGACCGGCTTGTTCTTGACAATGTAGGCCTCCTCCGGTTCCATCAGAAACACAGGCAGCGGCTCGGGCGGATCCGAAGGGAAGGTTTCCGGCAGATCACCGAGACCGATGAAGTCATCCTCAACTGTAGAAGAGAGAGATGGAAAGAAGATGAAGTGAGGGAGGAGGGCAGAACAGAGGGAGAGAGCCCCAGAAAGAGAGAGAAAGGGACAGTGGGACAAGAGACAGTGGGACAGTGTATTATAACCACAGTCTTTGCATGGGATTATCCATCCGCGCAGCACATAGTGAAATCCCTATCATTTGATATTTTGGAATGTTTACACAAGTGTATTTTAGAGCGCAGGAAATTCTGGGATTCCTCTCAGGCAATGGCTTCACAGAAACAGGGCCTCGCTTGGTCTAACCACAAACGGCTACTGCTGAGAAACGAGAGAGAGGCTGAGCCAATAATGAGAAGCAGAGTTCAGAGGTTGACTCTGAGGAACTGAAGTTATAAGCTGATCTCTCTCTGTCTCCCATTTTCTCTCTTGCTCTCTCTCTTTGCTTTTGTCTCTCTCTCACACACACACACATACGCACTCACACACACATGCACGCATTTTCACACACACAAACACACACACACACACACACACACACACGCAGCAGATCTAATGACCTCAGGCTTTTGGCCCAGTTTGTGCCATTCCTCGGATACTTCTGCAGTAGACAGATACGCTTCCCTGTAATTACAACTCCCTTTCATCTCCCTGTCTTAAATCACATACACACACGCACTCGCTCGCTCGCACACAAACATGAACACATGCTCACAGTGCCACAAAACATCGCAAGCACACAAATATATGGGCACACACGCCCACGAGCGAGCACGACTAACTTTCTAACTCTTTGAACACAGGAGGAGGATGAAGCCTATTCGCCACCCCATTTGTCACCTCCAGAACTGTTCTATTCTTACCATCGAACCGGTAGACATCAATTATTCACAAGTGTGAAGGAAAGGAGGCAGAGTAATAGAGACAGAGATACAGTGGGAAACAGAAGGTGAGAGAGAGAGAGAGAGAGAGAGAGAGAGAGGAAGGGGAACAGGGAGAGACGGTGAAAGTAACTCAGCCAGACAGACATAGATTGAGACATTGAAATGGAGTTGGGCAGACAGACAGAAACACAGCACGGGAGAACAGAAACAGGAAAGCAGACTGTTCGGATAACAAAAGAGTTTATCAGCCCATCAGTAATTCTTCCATGTCCTTCAATCTACCCGCCTCCATGTCCTGTGTGGACACGCTGGAGCCTTGTTGTCTGACAGAGGTTGTCTCCTGGATGCTTTGGGAGCACTAAATAATGTCTCGGCTGAGCAGATATCTCCTCACCATGTCTCTCTAATGTTATCTCTCCCTCCATACCTGCCACAGATTGCAGTTGATTGCTAGGAAATGAAAGGGCGGGGGGAGCCAATCGGAAAATGGCCAAAGCCATCCTCACCACGCTAGTTGGTCTGTGTACTGTTATGAAAGTGTTTGTGCATGTGTGATATGATGCTGGGGAGTTCTCTTTTAGTACTTTTCTGAGTGTGTGAGTGCTTCACATCAGAGAAAAAAAGCGTTCTAACTTCTCTTTTTCCTTGACTCCTAATCGGCTGCTAATTAAGCAGAGGCAGTACACCTCTGACCTTTAAAAGCAGCCGCCTCCTTACACTGTTTGTGTTCGTGCGGGTGCAATGAAGAGCTGGAACAAGATTATAGCCGTTTTGATCAACTTTCATCTTTTGCCGTCTAACCAAGAAAAAAAAAAATCGTTTTGTCGTGAAGCTTTTCATCAGTTATGTCTTTATGAAGGTGATGACTCTTTAATGTAGAAGTCTATTTCAGCAGACCTTGGGTTAGTCTGTTCTTTTCTGCTCCATAGTCCACCCACATCCTCAGCCAGGGGACCCTGACCCAGAAACAGGCAAAGAGAGCCAAGGAAACTCATTAAAGATTGTGTTAGCCTTCTTTCACCCTCCATTCCCATTATCTCTCCATCTCTCTCTCTCCCTCCTGGCTCCCTCGTTCTGTCGAACTGTGAGGCAGAGAGATCTGAAACAGCCATGAAAGCGTCGCTCCCTTACACACTGCGAGACGAGCGCCTCACACGCTCGCACATATACACCCGCGCGGGCATTAATGCGCACAGAGGCACACACAGACTTGCTCACAGATATTCGAATTCATCAACTTCCTCAGTGCGAGAAATAATAAATTCAAGTGAATGGAACTAGCCCTCTAGTGAAAAATATGCCTCGAAATGAAAAAAGATACCACGTGACTAAATGAAAGACCCGACTCCTTCCAATCACACCCCCCCCCCCCCCCCCCCCCCCCCCCCCCCCCCCCCCCTCAAACACACACACACACACACACACACACACACACACAACCACACCCCCTAAAACCCAACACCCAGCATCTCCCTCCTCCCTCCCTGGTGAACAGAATACTGAGAGCAACAAGACAAAAACAAATGTTCTGGCTCCTTCTTGCACTGTCTCCATTCATATACAATGACTAAACAGTTCCAAACAGACAATACTTTGGAGGTTGATGCAATCTTTGTTGATACGCACAGCTGCGGCGTGTATAATCGCAAACCTAATAGCCAACAACACATTACAATACTCATACGAATCAAATATGCATTGTGAAAAGATGTTCCCTCTCTTTTTTTAAGTGTCATATCCCTTTAATAGGAACATTAATATGGCATGCCTCCACTGATTGATATGCAATGTGGATTTTTCAGAGCATTTGTAATTCTGTGGCTTGATTTTAATCAGACAATTTGCCTCCATATTGAGTGTTTAAAATTTAATGAAATATGTCCTCAAAGCACTTTTATTAAAATTGTATTTTGCTCTGTAATTGGGGTGAGTTTTCCTAACTCATATTGTAAGTCTTATTAGTGAATATTTTAAGACTCAAATTGAATATTAGTTGAATTTTATATCAGCTCCACATCCCAACTGCAAGTTAAATGAGCTGCATGTTGCCCTCAAAATACAGTTAATGAATTAATGAAATGTGCATTGTTGCTGAATTTATCAGGTAGAGGGCAAAATGGTTTGAAGAAAAAAAAACAATGTAAAGAAGGATAAGAAGGAATCAAATGAAGCCAAGATTAGCAAGTGGGGGAGGGATGAGAGGGTCTGCAGTCAGCCCCTCTTTGGCTTGAGTCAACTCCAATAACTGTGGGAGTCGAGCAATATTAAGGGATGATTACAGTATGGACACGAGTAAATTAAAGGCAAACCTCAACGCTGGCACAGCTGCATATCAAAGCAGTCTCACAGATAAGACAGCGAGCTGTAAAAGAAATTTGCACAAAGAGGCACTTCTTGAGCTAAAAAAAGAGTATCTGTGTAACATAAATAAACTGTTGCATAAAGAATTGCACAACGCCCACACCAAACACAAGCACGCAGAAATTCACATTCAATATTTGAAGTTTGAGTATGCACCCTGTAGCACTTTGGCCCATTCAGTAGGTGGTAAACTGCTCGCCAAGACCAAAACGACCTGTCCGTTTTGCCAAAGTCCGAGTTTCCGACAGTGCGCTCCTCATTTCTTCTACAAGTTCATGTTGACAGTGTTTTCATTTAACGTTGTCTGGCTGACTATCATCTCTCTGAATCTTAGACACAACAAGGGCCTAATGACTAGCTTATATCAATAGTTTCCATTAGAAATGAACACTGGCTGGCTATAAAAATAATCATCCAGTGATTGCAGTTCAAGTATTCTTTAAAATGAGCTACAGCAATGCCTCCTGAAGCATTATTACTCCTAACCACTGCTATCAGTACACCACTTTTATTGGACCATCAATACCTTAGTCACATTAATGAGGTCTATTGTGCTGAGAACAGTGTAAACGGATGACAAGGCATCCACAACACATTAGAGATCGAGCCAGTGTTCAGACTGCGCTGAATTTGTCCTGGGCTTCAGCTGCCGCTCTATTGCCTTTTCACAAATGCACTTCAGACAGTAAATGCTCTGGTAATTTTACATTTCGACATCACGTGTCGACAGGAGGCCAAAGTCGATTTTACACGAAAGATGCTCTGGAAATTTGCCAACTCAAGACCTGGAAAGATTTCTGTAGAGTGAGCAAAAGTAGCATTTCAAGGCAGAGTTCACGCGAGATTATTATGAACCAATTCACCAACAATGTGAGTCCATCTATGTTGGTACACTGGAGATAAGGTCACCAATTCAAATCCAAATCAAGCAATAACTAAAGTTTAATAGAGATGGAGACAAATAGAGACAGTTAGATGTGATACTGATACAAACAAAAATGCCTTCCCACATATACACCATGTATGCCCTATAGACCGTATATATAGTTGATACATCACCTGTTTTTCTGTATGGCTGTGCTGAATAATTGCAAGATTGTATTTCTTAAACCATATATATGAGTGTCTACGATAACAGCTTTTGAATGCTGGGCTCTGACACCACTGTGCAAGATAAGCTCTCTGTATTCTCTCTGTACTCACGTAGATTTATTGTCCCAAGGAAAGCACTGTATCAGTGGGGCCAATGCTTCCCTTCAATCAGGAGAGAGTCGAGCATGAACGAGGATGAACACTGGCATAAATCGTCCCCCTCCTCATTCCTGTTTTATTCCTATTTATCCTCTTCACCCTCTGCTCTGTCCCACTTGCCTTCTACCTGTCACTTGTCTTTCCACTCACCCTTCTCATCATTCGTCTATACATTCCCGCTTCAGATAGAGAAAAAGATCGGTAAGTGGTTGGCCAGATAGACAACGGGGAGTTTTACTAGCCAATGTTTTGCTATGCCCGCAATGGGGAAGGACAAGAGGTGGTTTGCAGCTGAGTGGTCAAGCAGAATAATAAACCACTCAGCTGTCATGTCAATTGAAGCAGGATAAACAGACTGTCAATCAGATCTACCTATAAATGTGCTTTGAGCACACCTACCCATTATATTGAGTGAACATAAATCAATGGTAACGACCTCTTCCAGTCAATACTTGTTAGTATTGGACCCATACATCCCAGCGGCTTAAATCAATATGTATGGCTGTTGTTTTTAAAGCAAAATCCTT